CAGTATTCCCAACAAATTTGAACGTTATCAATAAACGAGATCCAGTCAAACATGCAGCATTCCTGCTTTGTCTAGAACAGACCACTAATCCCCTGAGTCTGTTACTGGGACGCAGCAATGTGGACTGTTTGCCCACACATTGGTTGGAGCAGAGTAAAGATTAAAGACTGTACGGCACAGAAACCACTGATTCTAGCAGATAAATCCTTCCACACTGGAATCTCGTTAACCAGCTCATGAACCATCATAATAAGTTAAAAACTAACTTCAGGCTTTACTCTACGGACCTTTTTTTCCTTGTCATTTTATCACAAAAGGTGTCTTAGGTTAATCTCCAAGGGATAAAGTGCAAAAGCATTTGCCAGCATGGTAGGTTCCTCCAGGAAAGGAGTGCTAACCCAAAGAAACCTTCCCTGCTGGGGCAGCTATCTACTACTAAACATGCACACATTTACTAGTTTACATACCAGTACATCAAAAGTTTGGAGAACTGTTATCAAGTGGTCTATATTTTTTTATTTTTAACTCCTTTAATTCAATTAAGACTGTTGGAAATCTGTTTCACGTGACTTCCTCATAAAGCCCATGCAAGAAATGATTAGAGGGACACAGCACTGCAAAAATGAGTAAAACACTTCTTTAAAAAAGTGACTTTACCCTTAATTAGAGAGGGTATATAAGATGATCTGCCAATGGAATGAGTATGTTTAGCCTTAGAATAAGATAATTAGACATTATGCCTTGATATAAGTTGCAGTTGTTCATTATTATTTTAAATGTTAATTGTCTTATTCCATTGGCAAAAAGTCACACTTACCAGCTCAATTCAAGAGAAAATGCACTTAATTTAAGAAAAATTGGCTTAAATAGATTGATATTTTTTGGGGGGGTTTTTGCAGTGAGTACAAAGGGGTCTATTTAGAAGAATATGAAAAGTAAACAATGCTTGAAATAATTTTATAAGTTTTGTTGGCTACATCATTCTATATACATTTGCTTTATAGGATGTTTTCACTTTGTACAAAACTAAATTACAAAGGTGTGACTCAAGTTTAGACTATTATTGTATAGCATTTTACTATCCATGTGTTTTTTTTCTCATTCAAAACATTCCAGCCTTCAGCTTTAATCATAATAGGCCCAATCTTTTCCGCTGGTTGTCTCTTCTCATTAAAATGGAATCTAAAACCTTCACTGATTGAAAAGGTAATATCTAAAATGCTATTAGTGAGAAAATACATTTTCTGGCACATTTGGTGGAGAAACTAATACATGCAGCACATGCATAGCTCCTGATTGCTGACAAGGTGTTTAGCAAGCCTGTCAAAACAACATGCTTGCTAAACACCTACAACACACTCAGGAATGTCAACTATTTGTCGTACTGTATCAAGTATACTTTGAAAGTTCAGACAAAAAGTAAAGTAGCCATTTTAATTTACCGTTTAGTTACATAACATTTCAACAGAATGGTAAGAAAAACATAGACCTTGTGTTTTAACATGTTTCATAAAGGAAATAATCTTATTCAAATAGACTCCACCCCTTTCTAATTCCTGTGTGAAGTCACTTCCTTTGTATTATTCACCAACTGACAATAGAGTGAATGCAACCTGACTGAGCAGGCTGGAGAGGAGATGACGGCATCGGCTACTTTCTGACTTCTCTCTTTTTCATTTTAAAGATGCCAGCTAATACACGGAGTGCCAGATCAAAATGTTTCACCGTGGAATATTTTTTTTTTCTTTTAAAGTCACCCAATGGATAAAACCCTCACATGTTCAACCAAGCGTGCATGAAATCATTTATTTGGGTAAATAAACGGGATCAGCCACTGACCTTTTTAGATGATATGGGATTTATCTTGGGCTGGACAGATTTATTAAAATGAATATTCTCTATTTCAGTGGATTATTTTTCTTTTCACTATTGACAAATTTGTGTAAAAAGAGAACAAGGCATATGAAGCAGTCAAATACAAACCAAGGTTGTAATCATACCATGACGAGGCAAAAAAAAAAAGAAAGGAGGGTGCAGAGCGGGAGAGCAGGTGTTTAGCTGATACCAGTCCCGGCACTTTTTGTTCAGTAACAGGCTTATTATTATTGTACTCTCCCTGCAGTTACAGTGGTTGCTGGGCAACACTGATGACAAAGTCATTCCACAAAGTCAGTGCTCGCTTGCCACCATCGTCTGGTTGTAGCTCCGCGTCAACCAGAGGAACAACAGAGCATCATCAATCTTGCCATGTGGATAAGGCCGTTACTCACATTTCAATAAAACAAAAAGGAACACCACATGTTCAGGCCTTAGAAATTAGATTCTAGATTCAGAGCTCCACATCCAGAATCGTGTCCTATTATAACTCCCTATAAATAGGGCTGTTAGTTCTAGGTCACCCTCTAGCACTTTCTTTCTCCAATAAAGCCTGTCTCATAATCATCAAGACTGGCTGAATGTGGGACAACGCAAAACAGGAGGGAAAACCTCTCTGACAAAAGCAAATGAACGCCGTACGTATATTCAGTGATGTGCAAGTTAAACTCACTGTTTTTAATCAGCGTAAGAGGAATCTATTCATAAAAATTCAACTGACTTTCTTGAGGCAACTCGCATAAGGCCAACACAGCCAAGAGAAACCTGTTCTCTGAGCTCTTCTGCCAGGACAGCAAACAACACTAAGCTCAAATTAAGGTGTTTGTTGTGCCAGCTAATAAGGAGTTTAACTTAATGGCCCTCTGCGCGCTCCCCACGATTACACTGGAGCGAAGAGCTCCGATTGGGCCGCCAGCCAGGTCTTACCCGACCGTATGGCCATCGGCTGTGGTGGCGTTCAAGCCGTTGTTTCTTTCAGCGTCCCATTGTTTGGTCTCAAAGGGATGGGGGGTGGCAGGGGGATTATATGTACACCCGAACACATTCTCTCTTTCAAAGCAGAGCCCTACACACACACACACACATAGACAGAGACACTGCCCCAAACAAGCGAGCACAAAATCACATTACTGGTGTCATAACAGTTATACTCATTATCTAGACATAAGGGGAAAAAAAACAGATGATGGAGTTAGGATTTTCTCTCCTAAATCCTGATAACTTTCCAAAAAAAAAACAACCTGAAAAAAATCCAAAATAAAGATTTCAATTTCTTGAACAGGAGGATATCTTTGAATGTTTTGTCTTCTTAGCTATTAATTCATTAGCTCAGTACCTCGGGGCTTCAGGGCTGAAATATGTTTCAAAATAAGCCCTGAGATATTTTGGTGTATGTCAGGGCTGAAATCAGCGAGAAAAAAAAAAACATTGTCCTAAAACAATAAGAGCCAACCTGTAGATTTAAAAAATGACATTGCAAAAAAATCAAGATCAAGCAACTTTAATTGGTCTGCAAATGCATGACAACTGTGTAGCAGTCCATCACTTCAGGGACATCCTGTGCAGTATGAAGCCTTTGTTTAAGGCCAATTTATACTTCTGAGGCATAGCCATTGCAACCGTAAAATCGGTCTCTGTGCACGACCACGCCCCCCGCGCAGAGGCTCTGCAATCGTCATTGTGGACCTCAAAAAAATCCTGACTACGCGTCAGAAGGTTGCAAACCCGCGCAGACCTCAAGCGGAAGTGCGCAGACAAAAAGTAGCTGTGATTGGTCCTAGGTATGCCTTTCCAGCTGTCTGTATGGTCGTCCTTCTCGAACACCGAAAGGTTGATCGAGGAGGTTCGGAAGTACAACCACTTATACGATGCCTCAGACATGTTTTGGAAAATAAACACTCCCGCCAAAACCGTGGAAGAAGTTCTCATGACCATACACCGAAGTTCTCGCGAGTTCTCAAATAGACTCACCCTAGAGCTTTGGCGGGAAACTGCTGTGCGTCTCTAGAAATTGCAGGCCGACGTTGCAGAAGCATACCAGCAAAACTGGTTTGCAACCAGAAGTAAGCGACATTTGATGTGTGCGGTTGCAGAACTATAATCCGCCCTTAAAACTCCCCCGAAATAGGGGGTAAGCAATAGATTAGATCATGAAAGAATTCATCAAAGCAGAATGAACATGAAAGGTGTTGTTGCGTTATTGTACCTGCAACAGGACGCATACTAGATATTTTAGCTCATGCACAAAAACCCAGACATAAATAAAACCTGTTGTCTTTGCAGTAATTGTCCAGTCTATTATATTCTTTTTGTATGGTTTTACAAATGGAAAAAAGCCAACATGAAGTCTTTTTTAAGTTTAAAATTTTTAAAAATAGTTAAACCTGTAATACAATCATGGTTTTGAATGAACCATTTTGTTGTTTTAATATTCAATTTCATTCTGAATTATTTCTGCCACGGCTAATCCGAAGGCGAAGGCGACCCCACTTGATGCTAATATTTCCAGGAGGAAAAAACGCTGGAAATGCCATGTGGACAAACAGATCCAGTATGCTTGATGTTTTTTGGGAGAAACAGATGCCATGTGCAAATAAGAAATAACAGACCATTCTGATTCCTGCCAACCATAATTCGATAAGCCAGGCTCTCTGCTGGTTTGGCATTTATTAGAGCCCTTTGAAACTGTAATTTTGTTTGTTGAAAGAACTGGGGAAAAGGAAAAGAAAAAAATGCTTTTTTACTGGGTGAATATTTTTTAGGAGTTTGTGAACAGAAAAGGCAATAATGCATTAGATTTCAAGATTTTCTGATATTTCTTAAAGGCCCAACACTCAATAATGGGTGCAATAGATAACAGAACAAATATAGATATAAAACAGTTACCTATTATTAGGGTTTACAGTGTTCAGCTCAAAGAGTTCACCAAACTGTTTATCTCCATCGTACCACCCTACAAATTACCGGTTTCTGATTATAATGCCAATAAAATTAAATCCTTCCAATCAGACATCATAGTCAGAGAACAGAATCATAGCCAACAGCAAAGAGCTTTGAAATGAAAGCATAAATGTTTTAGCGCCAGAAAGAAAACCAAAGATATTTATATGTATAGAATTACTCACCTCCAATGTTTCCTTGGGCAAAGCTTGAGTGGTCCTCAGCCAGCTGCGGTTCAACTCACTGAGCTCCAAAATCGGCTGCACCTTTAATCGGACTGCTTCTCCAGACTGGCGGATCATCTCCACAATTTCATCCCTGTTTTTGCTCTCCACGTTGATTCCATTGATCTCCACAAGCCTGTCCCCTGGCACCAGGCCCAAAGCCCAGTCCTTGGTGCCTGCCCCTGGTTCAGCAAAATGCACAACCCGCCGACTCACACCTCCATCCTGTTGTCTCTCAATCAAGGTGGTCCTCCTCAAAGAGAAGCCAAAATCTCCGGTGTTTCTTCGTTGAATCTCAAGTTCTCTTGGATCTGGTACAGGTGGAGTGGCGAGTATGGGCAACTGCAGGTCTGCGCCAGGGAAGGTTTTCTCTACGACCTCAGGAATGTGTACCTTAACAGTTCCTTTTGGGTTGGGGTAGGATGCTGAATTAACCGTACTCCTGTCCTGAGCTGAGAGAATGGAGGTACCGCCATCTTTGCTCTTCTGACTCATGGTTACTTGCTTCTGACCTGCTGCTGCATTGATCTTAGCCAGCTCCCCAAATTTAGCAGCTCTCTCCTTCACAGAGCAGCGTTGAGGTCCCAGTTCATTAGCAATCACATTTTCACTAGAAGTACTTGGAGAAGTTTGCCCTTTATCTGGCTCCAGATTGATGGGTTGAGGAACCGTCTCCACATTTGTCAGGCAAATGTCCGTGTCCCTCGCTACTTTTATTGGAATTGGGTTAGAGATCTCCAGCTTGCTCCTAGATTGCCTCTTGGTGCTCCCTCGGTTCACATGGAAGAAGCCTCTGCGTATGCTTATCTCCTCCAGACTTTTTAACTCTGACTGAGACATCTGTTCTTTTTTCTCCTTCTTCTCTTTCTTTTCCTTCTTGCCCACCTCCTTCTCCTTCTCCTTCTCCTTCTCTTTCTTGATTAGGTGAAACATGCTATATTTTTTGTGTTGTTTCCCAGCAGATTTGGCTTTCTAAATGTGTCACTCTTCTTTGTCGGCGTCTTATTAAACTGTGTGGAAGCATCTGCTGTAAAGGTCAAGTTGGGGAAGGAGAGGCACAAGGACAATATATTTTTAAATGTTTTAATAGAAACACTGTAATAAAGAGCTACCGTCTTAGTTTAATTGAAAACAACTTGTAAATCAAATTATCTCGATCACTCATAAAGCATATCTAGCCAACTTCAAAGGTAAAGTTGTTGTGTATCGTTATCTCATCTAGTTTTTTTTTTTTTTTTGACATGGTGCAAACAAACTTTAATACATTTTGGAGGGATTTTATGCTTTTATACACAAATTAGGGCAGAATTCTGATCTTAAAGAAAATGGAAAACGAGTTTACAAACTAAAGAATTCTTTTAAAGTATGTTAATATTAAAATATATATTTATATTCAGCCCTATCTCAGTCAAAGAATAGCACCCTGATAACATAATGCTACTACTACTACCACCATATTTCACTTTAGGGATAGTGCATTTCAGATGATGTACGGGATTAGTCTTGTTTTTTTCCCAGCTTTTATTGTCATTACAATGTCACAAGTACAGAGCAACAATGAACCATGTGCATTTAACCAATCCCCTTGGGGAGCAGTGGGCTGCCATTGTGCGGCACCCGGGGAGTACTGTGGGGTTAAGGGTCTTGCTCAGGGACCCAGAATGGCAGTCATTGGGAGTGGGGCTCAAACTCAGAACCTCAGGATGCCCTAACAACAAGGCCGCCACTCCCCAATGATTTTCCCCTCCACTTTTCTGCTGTGGCTCTAAACCAGGGGTCTGTAACCTGCAGCGCCGGAGCCACACATGGCTCTTTAGACCCTCTTAAATGACTCTTAATAGCCAAGGTAATTAGTAAATAATATACTCTAAGAATAAATACCAGTCTTAGAACCTGTATTGTTTTTTTATAAAGAATATCTACACTGATTTGTCTTGACAGAATGACATCAAAAGCACCAGAAATATATATTATTAAATTTTTTTGTGGTTTTCATTGTCTTTAAGTTAGAAAAGCAAATCAAATGTTCGTTGTTTAAGATGATAACTTATTTAAAAAAATAAAAAATAATAATTGGTCATATCAAATATATATTAAACAGTCTTATTTTGTGGCCCTAAATGACTTTTACTTTATTCGGATTCGGGGCTAAATGGCTCTTTGGATATGAAAGGTTGCAGACCCCTGGTCTGAGCTTTTTGATCTTTTTTGACATGCATAATGTGTACCCCCACTATAAGAAACTTTCAACCTAACCTTTTTATCTTGGCATGGTTAGCCAAGACAAAAAAAGTACACGTTCAATTACTGTCCTGTCAACAGCTTCTGCAACCTGAGCTTTTAATCATTGCAACTGCTTTCCTGAGCCTCCTGACTGCTTGTCTGAATAAAGTTATCCCTGCCTGACCTGTCAGTTCTGATGGACAGCCATGTCTAGGTTGGTTTAAAGTTGTACCCTGTTCTTTTCATTTCCAGATAATAAATTATTTTATTTTAAGCTTGGATATTCTTTGGAACCCAACTTGACTTTCAACATCTAAACTTTTGCGATGTTTCTCAATATTCATGTCATGGTTTGCATTTAATAATCTGATGAATTTCTATGGCTTTTTACCGAACAGCTATATTTAACTACAAAAAAAGACAGTGTATCTGCTGGCTGCGTTAGTTTTAAATGAATGCAGTAGTTTATTTTCTCAATTTCTATTTGTGAAAAAATAAATAACACATTAAAAATCATTTTACTTGAAGAATCTAGTATTTATAGCCCATAAAATCCCAATAAAACATTATAAAGCAAAGGAAAAACGTGAAAAACCTCCTCATGAATACCATTGTAGGACACTGTGAGCAATACATTTGAATTTTAACAACATCTAGATCTCCACATGAGTCCAGTTTACCAGACAGCACACAATGACACCTTCGTGTCCATGTTTACTTTAAGGAGACAAATACTATTAATTAGGAATGACATTAAAAAGAGGTGGGAGGGGGGGTTAATTCTCTCTGGTTTCTACATTTAAACATCTGTGGCACAGTTTATCTGAAGTTGCCCTAGATAAACGCGCTCTCAAACTGTCAGCCTCACCCTAAACTGATGCACCAGGCTACATTTAACGTTTATAGATCTGCTGTTTGTTTTGAATAAACATAAACAAACATAACATAAACCCCTCCCATATTTAATAGTATTTTTTTTAAGGTCAAGGTTGCAGTGAAACGGAGAAGGAGACTATTTAAAAGCGTTTTATAATTCGATAAAGTAACAATTGTCCTTTTATAGCGTTTTATCATAGTCTCCACATCATGTGTCGCCTGTTTGTGCTCGGCTTGGCCATAATGCTCTCCCTTTAAGCTGCTTTGCCCTCATTCTCCAAACACTGACTTTAAAAGGAAACCCTTATCAGCTGAGAGTAAAAAATGTCACTTATGGAAATTAAAAAAAAGGTTAAATGCTGTTACAATGTATAATAACAACCTACCTGGGCCTGCTCTCAGGTGACAGCGTAGTACCAGAAGTTTTCGGCATGTTTTTTTTTCTTTTTTTCTCCCTAATTGTCAGTAGGTGCGTGAATGTACTAATGATACCTTCACGTACCAGCCGTAAGCTCGGATTTTCTATAACTAGGATATGACGTAAACAATCCCGGGAATCTAAATGGACCCAGTAGTCTCACCCTGACATGTCGTTATCGTTATGACATTTTCAGGTCATAAATTAATCAATAATTTCCCCACATATAAAAAAAATGAACAAATTTGGATGATATAAAAACCAAACATTTAAAAAAAATTAAAGAAATTAAAATAAAATTAAGTTTTACTGAGCAGACAGTTTCTTGATAGCAAACAGGAGCAACTGTTTTTGATCTTAAAGGACAACATCAATATTTGTGGATCGTCCAATTTTAAATTGGATCTAATAATAGTATTTCCATTTGCTCGTGAAGGCAACGCTTTGCACACTGGAGAGCAGTGACCCCTCCTGGACTGTCCTCTATTTACCAGAAGATGAGAGAATGTGCTTATCGATTTTCCCCTAATAATCAACCATGATTTGTTCTACAGATTAAATATTTGACATAACATGAGTATTTTTCTTTATGGTTGCGTTATTGTTGCTGGTGGTACATTATTTGAGATATTTTCTTTTTGTTCTCATGATCTAATATAACATGAGACACTGGTACTTTAAAGAATAAAGAAACATCAGATATGTCTATCTGGAAAGGGAAAAGGTCTTTTACAAGATAATAATTTTCTCTTCTCCTAAATTTGATTTGTTACAGCAAATAGCAAATGCAAAGTATGAATTAACTTCTTTTTTATTGGAAACAGCCAAAGTATGTATAGAACTTTCTGCAGTAATATTTGTTTAAGTTCATAGATAAACTAATTCTTCAAATGTCACAGCAAGCACAGCTATTTTACAGCAAAAAGATTTAATGAAAACCTACTCTCAATCAACAGCTCGTGCACGTAAAAGTAAAGCAAGTTAGAAATTTAATCTGTTCATTGCAAACAAGGCAAAAGTACTTTAGTTGTGATGTTGTTTTTAAAAAGAAATGCAAATACAGAGAAGAGATATGTGTGTCTGTGTGTGTTTTTGGGAAACAAATTTATTCATTCAGTAGAAATGTGCAAAGACCTTAAAAATAAAGCAAATTTCAAAACAGCTTCCATTTCAGTTCCATGATCTCAAACGAAATATTTGACACCAATAATGAATATTCAATTTAGGTGAATTGTAAAAAGAAATTCCAAGATCAAGAAATATAAATTTTCGCTAAATTACTGCTGACATAATTTCTGATGCCCATTCTGTTAGATCTTTGTTTAGTCCCTTATTTCCAGCTTGGGGGGATGATTTGAGTTCTCCTATAAGATTTAACAAGGATTTACCATACAAAGAGGGAATCTTTATGCGATAATTGAGTTCTTTTAGAGCACTATGATTTTATTTAACAGTGCTTGATATTTTGAAAGTCCTCAATATCACAGATCTACTGTATGTAATGTTTAGGTACTTCCACATGTTTCTGTTGTGACAGCATAACAGAAAACCTGTCATGTTTATGCAACAAGGAGTCACAGATAACTAAAAAGAGGTTCCTAGAAACTCAGAACAATCCTATCAGACTTGCTACTCATAAAATTATTAAATTTCTCTTTTTTTTCAGTATGATACTAGTGCAAAAGACCAGAGGTGTTAGAAATAGGGGATGGGCTCTGTACAAAGAATCTATACAATTTGTTTCGCCCTCATGTCTCAAACAGTTTATTTACAAATAATTTTTTAAAGTCAAAAAGTAAAATGGAAAAAAAAAGGAACTAGACTGAAAAACTTAGAGAGAAATTCACAGCCACGATTTCATTCCCTGTCCTATTTTGGCTACACGGTGTATCCTAGCCTTGCTGTGTTCCCTTTCATCTAAATTTCTCGTCGAAGTGCACTCCAGAGTCGAGTCTGCCTCAAAGGAGATCGATGGAACCTGATTGGACCCAAACCAGGTCCCATCGATCTCCTTTATGGACCCAGTAGATGCAGGTGCAGGGGTCTGCAGGACGACTCTACCCCACAAAGAGTGCTTGAGCTCAAGCAACAGCGGGTTGCTATAAGAGTACAAAGCCACCTGCTGCACGGATTCCCTTTCAGTGTCACAACATGTGCAGCATGCAGAGAACAGCACTCTGAAGATATAGATCCAACCCAAATAATGCAGCTCCACGATGTTCAGCACGAAGCAACCCAGACTGACACTGAACATGAAGTTAAGAAAGATGGTCTTTTCCGTCGCTCGAGACACAAAGCAGTCGGTTCTGTTCGGACACGGGTAAGTCTCACAGCGAAAAAGGTGTGGGACTTCGAATCCGAAAAGGTAATACTGCCCGATGAGGAAGACTATCTCCATGATGGAGCGCAGAAGCACATGTAGGATGTAAATAAGTAGCACTTTACTTGAGAGTTGAGTTGGGTCCTCCCCTACATCTTTCATTTCCCCTTCCAGTTGGTTCCTTTCTTCATACTCATCTTCCTGCGAGCTCCAGTCTTCGTCTGCAGAAATGTTATCATAAGGACTACCAGCATCCAGCACCATGTCTTTATCTCTTCTCAAAGGGCTTTTTGGTTCAACCAAAGGAGTGTCATTGGGCATTGAATTAACCTTCCTGACCCCCACTCTGTCATTCTTGGTAACCTTTTGCAAGACATACACTATGTAGAAAATTGACGGAGTGGATACAAGGATAATCTGAAAAACCCAAAAGCGCAAGTGGGAAACGGGGGCAAACGTGTCATAGCAGACGTTGTTGCAGCCAGGCTGCAGGGTGTTGCAGGTAAACTTGGATTGCTCATCGCTGTAGACGGCATCCCCAACAAGGGCCACGAGCATGATGCGGAAGATGAGCAGCATCGTCAGCCAAATCTTGCCAATGACTGTTGAGTGGTTTTGAACTTCAGTCAGAAACCGACCAAGGATGGACCAATCCCCCATTTCTAAAGACACACAATGGATAAAAGAATGTATGTAGTCAGTAAATGATCTGATGTAGAACCTCCAACTGTATAAGCTGCTTCAAATAGAGTCAATGTATCACATTTAGTGATTGCTGTGGGCAGGATGGATCTCTTCTAGTAGTCTGCATTACAGCAAGCCTGAAGAAGCCTCTGACAAAGGTCACCAGGCATGCTCAAAGTCGGTCCTCGAGGGCGGCTGTCCTGCAGGTTTTTGATGCTTCCTGTTTTAGCACAGCTTAATCTGATGATTGCAAGTCAGCAAAAGCCTGTTAATCAGCTATCAATAAAAATCAGCTGTGCTGGAACAGGGCAACCTCTAAAACCTGCAGGACAGCAGCCCTCAAGGACAAACTTTGGGATCTTACATCGGGCATACCTGCCATAGACCGACTGAGGCCCCCTGCTGACCCAAACAGAATGTAATTATGCAAAGAACAACTTTACAAACATTCCAGATGATCATATGTTAAATTTGAAATTTACCCTCAGAGGGATAAAGGAAAGCTTGACATAACTTCATCTGCTAGTGTTAGAGCTGGGAAAACATTTTTTTTTCTCTATGTAAAAGGTTGTTTTCCAGAGTTTCTTGTGAACACAGCATTACATTTAGTCCCTTCCTACATCAAATTTTCCGACATCTATCACCATCTAAGCAAACAGAGCACAGATGCCAATGCACTTGTGACAACAAATCCATAAGTGTGAGTTCTCAAGATCATAAATTGAGCTAAATAAAAAGAAAATCATATTAAAGGATGATTTTGCTAAACATTTATGAATACATTTGCTTAAAAATTTGCACTTCTATATACATAAATATCAATATATGACCGTTGGTTGTGATTTCCCAATTTTAATTAGACTGATAAAGACTTTGATACACATCTGGGTCACGGTTCTACTCCAGTGCAATCTTCTAAAATTGGCATTTCACAAAGATACAATCCCTTTAAAAGACCCATAACCCCCACTTTCACATAATTACCCCCATTTTCTCATTTTCACAAATGTTGAAGAAGGATGAGTTAGATTAATATCAAAATTTTGCGTATTTAGCATATTAATTAAACCCCTGCTGGTTAATTGGAATAATTCAACATGTTGTCAGGTTAAAATTAGCCGAAAATATCATATTGACTCCAGATTTGTTCAACATTTAAGCAATAATTTCCTTGATGCTTACCTGGAGCCTTTTATATCCAGAGCTGGATAAATACCAGAGGACACGATGCACATTTTTTCATGTGGAGCTTGTTGCTGGTTGTTATCGTGTCTTTTGAGGACAGAATGGGCTGACCACACATATTCTCTTACTCTGACTCAAAAGCTTGTTGAACTGTATGTGAATAATGGCTTTCAATGTACAGTAGGACAAAGATTGAAATGTACAATGGGGGTACCTTCATTGAACAGCTATTCAGTGATGAGCAGAGAGTTCACTGGAATGAGCAGGAACAATGTAGACTAATTTTGATTTCAAAGGTCCAAGACTAGGTCAGGTGTTTTATTAGAAGCATTTATCTAACCCAATTAGTTGCATTTAATAAGAAAAATAACTATAACACTTTGTAATGCATTTAAAGGGGTTCTGTAACTTGTTTAGAGGCACATTTTTAACCATTTTCAAATGACTCAAATCTAATCCTGCTAAACTCCTGTGTTATTCAATTCAACAGCTTTAGGCAGGAGGGATCTTCTATATCAGCCTGTCTTTTAGTGATCTGGGGAAGAATTTGACTGAGGAGTTGCTGTTTAAAAATCGTCTGAAGAGGGTGCTCAGTTTTCCATATTTTCTATTTTATGAAGAATTCTTCTTTATGAAATCACCTCAAGAGGTTCTAGAGGAGTTTGTAGAACAGATCGGGCCTTCTTTATCATTGTTGATTATCTCAATAATTTGCTTTGATGCTTTTTTACCCATCAGATGATGGCAGAAGAGATCACAATCTCCACAACAGACCTTTAGAAGATATGTAGCATCTTGCTGTAAATGACATAGGACCTAAGCTTCCTGGGGAAATAAAGTCTACTCTGTCCTTCTTTGCAGATGACTTCACAGTTGCATCTTCAAGCATCTT